GAAGGAGGGTCATCGGCCTGGTCACCGCCTTGGGTGCTGGCATGGCCGGCTACCACAGCTGTTGTTTATTGACCGGTTTTTAATGAAGTGAAAGCACCATAAGGGCATGAAGGAGCAGCCACATGCCACGTGGGCACCATTTAGCGCCCACTTGCTCCACCCCTCTCCTACCCCACAACAACCCCCGACCTTCACCCCCAACCTCCACCCAACCCCCCACCTCTCGGAAATGTGGGAATTCCCAACGGCTCTTACACCATCCAAAGACAGAGTTTTTCCTCATCACTGACCCGTGAGAACGATGGCTCATCATGTCCTTCAGATTTGACTTACTAACTGTCACAAATTATTTGAACATCTGTATTGACCAAATTTATATACAATTTCGCCAAATCTTAGTAATTAAGTAAGGTCTTATTACAGTGAGGATGATGCTCATATTCACTGACTGTCACACACGACAGGTTATCATACATAATACAATAGTGTATGATACTAGACAAGGCATGCAGACATTAGAATTAATATGTTCAATGTAGTGACAAAAATTATCTAAGAACTAAGCTGTTAAGTTTTGTTATACAACATGAATCAAATAATTCATCCTGATTTTTTTTTGTTACTGCAGCTCTCACTTACGCAACTTGTGGATACTAACAGCTAGATCTTTTTCTTCAATCACTCTGCTGCATGGTAGTGTTGTTGATATGCTGCATGGTAGTGTTGTTGATATGCTGCATGGTAGTGTTGTTGATATGCTGCATGGTAGTGTTGTTGATATGCTGCATGGTAGTGTTGTTGATATGCTGCATGGTAGTGTTGTTGATATGCTGCATGGTAGTGTTGTTGATATGCTGCATGGTAGTGTTGTTGATATGATAGTTGTGATGTGAATTATTATGCCCATCGTGCAAGGGAGGGGATTCCTCACCAAGTCCCTGGCTTTCTCCGCAGTCCCCGGTATAGGTTTAATACCAGAGAGACACGGGCATCGTAGAGAATGTCAGACCTGATCACACCGGCCAGAACTTGTCTCGAACTGCATTCCGTTACCTCTCTCACTACGAATGTAAATGAATCAAATACCTTTCAGTGTTGAAGGTTTGTTTTGACAGAATTTGTTCCAGCGACAATAAGCCAGATAATATTTGAGATAATAACACACCAGGGACGTATGAGAAATGGATATAAGCATAAATAAAGCATATTTTAAGAATATAGGCTACTAAATATGCTAGGAACGAATATGAAGATGGAAAGACAAATTCTCTATCACGTAATATGTGTTAAACTTGCCAAAACCTCTGTAAAATCTTGATATATAAAACTCGATACCATAAATTGCAGCCGCCATCGTGCAGACGAATGGTGGCCATCGTTGGTGGTGGTGGTGGTGTTCTACTTAGTTGTGTATATTTGGAGCAGGTCCTGGTAAGTGGCTGGAGCGTGGTATCTGGCGCCAGATACCATGCGCGAGAAAGACATTCACCGTGACCAAGCAGAAAGCCTCACTTTGGGTTGAATACGTTACATCAATAATTTCAAAATTAGAAACAAAATCCTGTCCTTGTCGCCAGAGGTAGGTTATTAAATAAACTTAATTGTTACTATTATAATTAGAGGATTATCAAAAGTAATTAATTGCAAATAATTAGAGGCTCAATATATCCGTCATTTTAGTGTCACCATCATTTGGTTTCGAATGTCCCCAATGACTCAAGCCCTTAATTCAGTAGTTCAAAAGTAAGTTAAAAAAGTACCTAATTTCATCCTTATCCTTGTGCCTACCCTTGTGCTTCAAACTCACAGTGTATCTTGTACCCACTTCCCCAATAATAGTACTTAAGACATATACCCTTACCAGTACAATCACCTGTCAACTTATGTAGTTATCTGTTGATATAAAAACCTTGCTACAGTGTACCCTTCATCTTACCTGATATGTTAGATTAAGGACCTGCCTGAAGTGCTGTGTGTGTTAGTGACTGTATGAATGTAAAAATACCAAGCTTATGTAATCTCACCAACCCATTGTACCTTCTTGCAAATGAATTATTATTATTATTATTATTATTATTATTATTATTATTATTATTATTATTATAATTCATCGTGTCGGGGGACAGACAGCCAGTTTTTACACTCAGTACATGTTAGGCTTATATCGAGGTCACCCCCAGGGCCGAATTACTAACCCTTCCCCCAGGATGAAACCCCATAACTAGCTACCTCCTGGGTACCCATTTATTGCTAGGTGAACAGGTTCATTAGGTGATAGGAAACGCGTCCAAACATTTCTCTCCCGCCCCGGATGTCACAGTATTTAGCTGTACTGTACGAACCCACCTGTATTACCGGGACCCTCTAATAAATGTGATTAAAAAAAATCTAGATAATGAGTGAAGGGTTTCATTGATATGTTCCGAAAACAAATTTATAATCAGATATGAGTTAGATTACGTTTGTCCACAGAGCCGGGCGGGGAAGGTGACTTCCCTGCGTCACAGCCTCATGCTCGTCAACACAAGCGTTGCCTTGGAAACCCAGGTCGCCTGAGGGAGTGACCTAGCACCTACACACACAATAAATGTCAGCTCACAACCTAATGGTCCGGGGTTCGATTCCCGGACAGAACGAAATATTTAGGTCCGTTTCTTTACACCTTATGCCTCTGTTCATATAGCAGTGAAATGGTACCTGTGAGTTAGGCAACTGTTGTGGGTCGCATCCTGAGAAAGGTCAGTGAGGGCCTAGGGGAACCTCGACATGTCTAACAATCATTGTGTCCCTGCCAATGGAACACATAATTAACGATGTTGGTCCGAAGGTTTGGTCAAGGTTTGTACCCTGTTGGCTGTCAAGGTCATTAGGGCCACCAAATCTACCTTGTGTGTACTGTGTGTGAGTGTGTTGTACCCTTGCACGGTGTGTGAATATACCACAGTCAGTCAGCCCTGCAGCCAGACAGCCAGGTGGTGTCACTCAGCCACACTACTGCCTCGTGATGTTAGGAATGTAGCCTCGGAACCCTCCATTGGCGATCGAGCAACGGTCCCTTTAGTTAATTATTAACTATTACTAAACAGTAATATTTGCATTAATAATAACAGCGAATAAAACCTTATAATACTAAGAAATGAACTATTGATTCAGGGATGTATGACAAATGTCCTGATAACATAAACAGCTTATGGAGATAAACAGCTCGCCACCAAGTCGATGGTTGCACCTTCACTTCGCAGTCGAGGTCCAAACTCACTATCATCATGACACATTTTATGTAACATAGCGGTGGAAAGTTTACAGGTGGGCACCCAGTACCCATCCTGAGAGCGGTGGTGGAAAGGTCACAGACACATAATGAGCTCAAGAACTGAACCTAATATTTATTTGACTAAGCAAGTTACTGGTTTGATGCTTCTTGAGGTATACTTATTAAAGGAAAAGACAGTAAGAGGTGATGCATGGGCACCAACACGTCGCTTCCTCTTCTTATCAACCATTCTTGAGGTACTTTAACGCGTTAAACAACTGAACTAGTGCATTAGTAACACTATTTTATGCATTCAGAAGTTAATATAAGATAAAATCCATAGGAGACAGACTCTGATTCCATTATTGAGGATTTTATTATAAATATTCTTTGCTTCAGACACAAGATAGAGAAGATGCAGACAATAAATCACAACAACTTGGCTGAAAATTACATCCTCAGCAGACGTTAATATACGAAGAATTAGAGAATGTCACACAAATGTGTTCAAAATTAGACACCCAACCCACACATATGAGAAGAAAAAAGTGACACCGTTTCCTCACAAGAGTCCAGCACGGACCGAAACGTGGTCACTTTCCTTTCTCATCATATATATTGGGAGTCTATACTAATAATCAAAATAACGTGGCTGAAAATTAATGCCCAATGGAAGTTAATATGATGAAATGATATAAGGCCACATATATGTCCCTGGTGACGAAGCACAGACAATAAGGACATTATTGAAGCCAAAATATATGTCAAGAATGACTATAGACTTGTTCAAGTTTAAGTACGTTTATTGAGACAAGAAAGAAATACATCTCAAAGGGATAGAGTAACTTAGGCTATTTCTACCCCCCCTAGACTTGTGTAGGTAGGTCCAAGGTCTCCTACATCCTGCGTATCATAGTGATAATTAAATTATGGTCCCCTGTTGTTTAACCCGTCCTCTCATCTAGTACCTTTAATTTTGTATATTATGGTTTCAAACGTATAAATGACAAAGTACTATGAAAAGCAGCGGCTCACAGATATCTACATTTTCTATGCTTCGGTAGCTTAGTTCGGTGGGTTGATTGGGTTCGTACGTGTACTTTGAATTTTGTTTATTGTGGCAAATCAAGAGAACGGGCTTGGGTTTATCTCTACTGTTACTGAACTGTGTTGCCATTAATTGTATGCCTAACATTATAATATCCGAGGCTGATGGCGGCTCAATCTGCACGAAAGTAGGAAGGCTGATATTTATTTATTTATTTATATATTTATTTGTTTATTTATATACAAGAAAGTACATTGGGTTTATTAGAGTACAGAGACTTGAAGTTTTGCATTCTTGTAAAGCCACTCGCACACATACGTTTTGGGCAGAAACGCTAACATATAACAGCTAAAACATATAACTGAGCTTGTCACTAGAGGCATACAGGTTGACAATGTGGAGACACGGAGACACATAAATCCTCACTCCATGGTATTGAATGAAGCCCTTGCTTCTTTTAGCTAGGAGGAGTTGTGAGGAAGGGATTTTTTAATACACCAAATTCAAGAATACTTGAATTTAAGGTTGCAAGCAATAAAAGAGGGTAAATAATGAGGTAGAAACTTTGAAAGCAAAGATCAATGGGCTCAGTTGTCACTATTTTTTTGAGGCAATGCTGCAACTAAGGAGCCTGATGACCCATTCTGTTAACCATTATGGTTATTGTTTTATTTTATATCCTTTTTTTTAACAATCCAGATAAAGAAAGACGTATCTGCTTTGGAGAAAGTTGAACACCGGGCGACAAATGTCGTCCCAGAACTAAGTCGACTCTCATACTTGAGGGCCACAGGGCTAACAATACTGGAAATCAGACATGACAGGACTCATATCATCAAAACTTTTAAAATACTGAACAACGTGGAGGATATTGATCCAGGCCATTTATTTAAAATGTCAAATGTAGCACTGACAAGGAACATCTGCTTCAAGCTCAAGAAGCCACAATGTGGGACAGAAAACAGATGATTTTTCACTCATATGATTATAAACCCATAGAACCGCCTACCCGCAAATCCGTAAATGCCAAAACTGATGCACTTTTTTCAAGATCAAACTCGATAAAATCATCAGGGGACCTCTGAGAAGCCGCCGGATTCCTGTCCCCATCGAAGCCACTAGAGAGAGTGGCCCTCAGGTAAATAAGTCATGCAGCACAACTGAGTTCAAGGTAGTTTAATCCAAAAACCCTTGCTTTATTAGGCTGTTTCCTCTACCTTTTCAAGGTAATCATTGACCTTAGCTTTAAAAAGGAAATATATGCTAAAAAAATATGTTTGAGCTGAGAGAAGCTCCACGCGAGTTAGCTGTGACATGTCGAGCAGATCACATATGGCAGAGTCAGTGACTGGTCTGGGAGGCGAGGGAGGGAACTTAATCCTATAGCCTCATTGTCCTCATCAAGCATAGCCGTGGTGACCCCGGCAGTGATAAATGAGGAAGGAGGGTGTACACACTATTCACTTTGTTCAAAATGGTTCTCACCTTCCACCTCTTATCAGTGCTTCAGTTTGATCTTCCAGCTGACGATATTTATAATTTCCGTCCTGGAGCCTGCTCGCAGCGCCATGTTGACTGTATCCATCACCCAGTCATGCAACCCAAGCGCCCGCGGCGTCCTGCCGGGCGTATATTGCTGTTCCTGCTTTTTGTGTAGTCGTCGCTTCTGCTGCTCCTGCTCCACACATGTTAACTCTTCCTGATGTTGCAGATGCTGCTCTTTCTCCTGTTTATGATGCCTACGTTTGCTCATATAAAACTTGCGCTGCTCGGAGATCAATGAACTTCATCACAAGGAATAAATGCAATATTATATATGCCTTTATAACTAATTCTGCAATATCCTCATATAACTATGTAAGGAGTTCATTATATATTATTCTTATGCCAGCTATCTGACATAGACCAAAGTACCAAGATATTGCTCTAGTTCAAAATCCAATTGGAAAAAAATCCTCAGGAAAATGAGACCTTTCACAAACCGCCGGCTTCCTGTCCCCGTCGAGGCCACTATAGATAGATGGTGGCCTTCAAGTAAAGAGACCTTTTGTGTATAGGTAGATAAGGGTAAATGCTGCCTCGTCTCTAGAGTTGAACAAGAGAACTCACATTACGTACAACAATGTGGTATCGGAGTAGAATTTAAATTTAAAAAACATGTTGAGGGCGTGGCTGGTGTCATGGCGATGGGTTCCAGGAAGCCCCATGAATCACTTATTCAACCATGATATGCCTCTATAACCTCACCTCCACCGCTCACACCATGGGTGTGGTGTATCTGTTTATCTGTATACAGTGCATCTGTAACCTCTCCACTTGTGAAGTATCCCAATATCCACTTCCACCGGCGCCTCTGCACTGATGTTGGGTACACATTCCTCGCCGCCCACAGGGTGGGAGTGGGGTACATCTGCCACTGCCGCCCACCGAATGGGTGTGGGTTATATGATAGACAAATAGAAACTAAACATATCTAGGTCAAGACGAATGTAAATAGTTTAATTGAAAATGACATTTGGGTCTATTTCTGAATAATAATATTAATAATAATGATAATACAAGGAAGTCACACTAACGTACGTAATGTATCACGTTATATATATAGCTGCAGCGTATAGTGGACAACTGCATTACCTATACCGGGCGTATATTGCTGTTGCTGCTTTTTGTGCAGATGTCACTTCTGCTGCTCCTGCTTGGCTTCAGTAGGGGCCTTCGGACATTCTGTGGATTCAGCGGAATCTCAGGTTGTATAGCTTAAGGGCTGAGGGTTCGAATCTCCCCGTATTGCCCAATTAATTTTCTCAATGATAATAATAAAGATCATAATAATAAACATAATTTTATTTAAAATGTAAGCATAAGAACATGATATTTTCATATATTTTTCGGGGGATTGATATGATATTTTGAACATATATATATACGAAAATTATATTTTTGTTTGCCCGAAACGCTGTGCATATTAGTGGTTTTAGGCATAGTAAATACTAGCTCTATCTAGAACTACAACATTCTGTTTGTAACTCATTTTGTATGTATGTACTTTTACCTGAATAAGCATTATTACTGTTATTATTATTATTATATATTATTATTATTATTATTTATTATTATTATTATTATTATTATTATTATTATTATTATTATTATTATTATATAGTGGTTCCATTGTGGGATTATATTCTAGCTATGGAGAACATAATTATTAATTAAACTAAATTAAACCGATACCAAGACATCGAAAACATTAACTGGTGAATTAATATTATTATTAGTAGCAGTAGTGACAGTAGTAGTGGTAGTAGCAGCAGCAGCAGCAGCAGCAGTAGAAAAACAGGCATTAACTAGCATGAGAATGAAATGAACATGAGAAAGTGCAGAAAGCACAAATATAAAAAGTCATAATATGGTTTAGTTTATTAAACCATGTTATAATTGTATTATTATTATTATTAGTGAATTACATCCTGTATTCACATTGTTATTAATGTTAATAACTACTGTACTGTTGCTAGAATTAGACTCCTTACTGTAATAGTATATCCCTGTCGTCATTATGTATCAAAGTATTATTGTTTCATTTGTTATTTTTTTCCCCCTTGGATTTTCTCCATTAGCTCATATCTGTATTAATGTTAAGTGTATACCATCTCACACCTTTATTTAATTTTGTTTATCTAAACTTTTTTTTAAATTATAAAAAAAAAAAATTAATAAATACCTAAAAGGGGTACCACCTCTGGTGCAAGTGTAGGGACCCATAGCCTCGGAGAAGAAAATAATGAGTACTCAGAGAAGACCTTGTGGATCCTCACTGAACACTTTGATATTTTCTTCCCCTACCACCCCTATTCTTTATCTAAACTGTACTTAGTTTTGCCTTAAACGCTTTCTGTAATAGTGGCTTCATTAATATGTCTTACATAATATGTAATATGTCCCTACAATTGTAAACTAATCCTATATTCTTTGTACACACATTTTGTTGAATAAAAGTATATTTTTATTTGCGAGTACCCTATTATCAAAGACAGACCGAATGCCATGAGATACTTTGAGCTCTGTGATAGCTTCACACACTCGCGAATATTGGAAGATATTCTTATGCTCAACCCAGTGTTTGCTAGTGCAGGCTAGTAGTAGACTAGACTTGCCTCATGCTTTCTCCTGATTCCAAGTATGACTATCCATCCTGATGGGTGGTGATGATAGATGAACTCGCAGATCTATACTCTGTAATTCTTCATATAGAAGTGTAAAAACATTACCGTGTGCTTAAGCTTGTTAATAAAAGATATAAAAACAGGTCACTAAACAATAGGCTCTCTACTTGCTGTATCTTGTCACTGTCGGCGTCGTTGTTACCACTTTCTGCAATCCTCAACCAATAATAATTATTATAACAATAATATAAACAACAAAAAGAACAATGCTAAAATGATTAGCATTATTATTGTTTTTATTATTTCTGTTGTGTATATGAACTATAGTGTGTACCAAGCAGCATATAATTTATCTCTAGATATATCAGTATAACTGGTGTAAACTAGCGTTGTACAAGAGGCAGCGGCGGGGAGGTTGATGAAGGTCAACCCTTGTCGGGCCCCGCGCTTCAGTAATGGCGGCCACGATGCTCACTTGTTCGTTCACTCTGCGCTAGTCTTGTTCAGTGCTCCTACTGTATTATTTCTCTAAATATTGACAAGCAAAACAAGTACGGTCATTACAGCCTTAGAGCAAGATATTTGAAGCCGTTATATTTGCCAGCGCATGCAATCATGAGAGATAACAGCCTAATTAACGTCATTTATACAAAGCAGCATGGACCATGAGAAGCAAATGTGATTTCTTGCTATTTAAAGAGGTATTGGGAGATATACCCAGTTTCCACAGTGGTATATATATATATGTATACTCGCAGGTTCAACGGACACCTAAATATTTGTATCTTGATGCGAAATTACAAAATATATTATGAAATAGATGAGCGCAATTGCAGTCAAATTCCGTTAAGTTCACCAGTTTCATGAGAAGTATTGTATTATATTGCAGTGCGTCGAGTTGCATTATCTATGAAGACGGGACTCCCTAAAACCTGTGACGTGGAGCTCGCTGTGACGCAGTACTGCAGGTTGCCAGAGTTGCGCCATGCTAGTGACGTCATTAAGGTGCACAGAACAAAGAACAGAGAACTGCCAGAGTTGCGTCATGAGAAGTGACGTAATTAAGGTCCAAAGAACAGAACATTACCTAGTACCGAGACAACGAAGAGAGGAGAACTGAAGGAACGAGAACATTAATTATTACCGAGGTAACGAGAATATTAACGGGTACCGAGGCAACGAGAACCTTAACGGGTACCGAGGCAACGAGAACATTAACGGGTACCGAGGTAACGAGAACATTAACGGGTACCGAGGTAACGAGAACATTAATCAGTACCGAGACAACTTGGATACTTGATTGTTGGTCACAAGCTCTTGTTGTAGCCTTAATAACCCTCCATACAACACCAACAAGCTGAACAAACTTCTTTTTAGCTGGAAGCAAGTTACACCATCAATGAACTAGTTACAGACTTTGTCAACATATAAAATCACACAGTGGGCTCCGAACTCTGCCTTCTAGTTGGCAAGCAGATTTGTGATAAAGTTTCAAAGGACTCTAATTGGTGTCTGACAGGAACCAAAGAATTACAGTTAGAGATTTTGAACTGGAGGAATGTAACAAGTGGGGTCCTCCCAAGGCTCGGTCCTGGGACCACTGCTGTTTCTAATTTATATGAATGGCTTGCCAGAGGGAGTGAGCTCGTACATATCAACACTTTCAGACAAGACACAGCTGGTGAGGCATGTCAAATCATAGGACAGCGTTGCAAGAAGACCTTGACAAACTGCAGGAGTGGGCAAGCAAATGGTTGTTAGAAGATGGGGAAGGATGAAAGGAGACCAGGAGATATCTGTAACATAAAGGAAAAGCACTACAACAATTGGAAAGAGAAAAGGATTTAGGGTGGATATAATTATGTTCTTACAATT